CCGATCTGTTCTCTCACAAAAGACCCGTTCTAGGTCCTTGCGGTTGGATATTTCTGCTTTCTTGTCCCTCGCTCCATTAAACTTTAGCTCTTCAACATGTGTGACGACGATGTTGCCGCTCTCGTAGTTGACAATGGCTCTGGTATGTGCAAGGCTGGTTTTGCCGGGGATGATGCTCCCCGTGCTGTCTTCCCCTCCATCGTTGGACGTCCCCGTCATCAGGGAGTCATGGTGGGTATGGGTCAGAAGGACAGCTACGTAGGTGATGAGGCCCAGAGCAAGAGAGGTATCCTCACCCTGAAGTATCCCATTGAGCACGGCATTGTCACCAACTGGGACGACATGGAGAAGATCTGGCATCACACCTTCTACAACGAGCTCAGGGTAGCTCCGGAGGAACACCCAGTCCTCCTCACTGAGGCTCCCCTCAATCCCAAGGCCAACAGAGAAAAGATGACCCAAATAATGTTTGAAACCTTCAACACCCCTGCTATGTATGTAGCCATCCAGGCTGTCCTCTCCCTGTATGCATCTGGTAGGACCACTGGTATCGTTCTTGACTCTGGTGATGGTGTTTCCCACACAGTCCCCATCTATGAAGGTTATGCTCTTCCCCACGCCATTCTCCGTCTGGACTTGGCAGGCCGAGACCTCACTGATTACCTTATGAAGATCCTCACTGAGAGAGGCTATTCTTTCACCACCACGGCTGAGAGGGAAATTGTCCGTGACATCAAGGAGAAACTTTGCTATGTTGCTCTTGACTTTGAGCAGGAAATGGCCACTGCTGCATCTTCCTCATCCCTTGAGAAGTCCTATGAGCTTCCTGATGGTCAAGTCATCACCATTGGCAATGAGAGGTTCCGTTGCCCCGAAGCCCTCTTCCAGCCTTCCTTCTTGGGTATGGAATCTTGTGGCATCCATGAGACCACCTACAACTCCATCATGAAGTGTGACGTTGACATCCGTAAGGATCTCTATGCCAACACTGTCTTGTCTGGAGGCACCACCATGTACCCTGGTATTGCTGATCGTATGCAGAAGGAAATCACTGCCCTAGCCCCTAGCACCATGAAAATCAAGATCATTGCTCCACCTGAGAGGAAATACTCTGTATGGATCGGTGGTTCCATTTTGGCCTCCCTATCCACCTTCCAACAGATGTGGATCTCCAAGCAGGAATACGATGAATCTGGCCCCAGCATTGTCCATCGTAAATGCTTTTAAATTGTAAATGAAAAGACTCGAGTCTTATGACCTAGAGAACATCTCACCCTCTCCTCGCTACTTGAAAGTCCACTGGAGCTAATTGTGCGAATTAAATCCTAAAGAGCGATGGACATTCTTTTCCAAAGAAAAAAATTTAGTCGAACTTTTTTAAAGAAAGAACTGCAACTAAAAGTTACTGGTCAAGTGCTGACCTGTTTAATAAATTCTTTGCTCTTCTGTCCTGAGCAAATTACAAGATAGTTCATTTGAAGTGTTTTTGCCTGGAATAACTGCTGCCTGGTATTTGGAAACAGTTGCATGTTCTCCTACATGCTAATGCTGCCCGAATGAGTGCTGTACAGACAACTTCACTGCTGTATCAGTCTTTTGTCTAGATGTATTTATAAAATTGTGTTGTATACAAAGTGAAAAGGAATAACAGGCGTTTGTTTACTTAAAAAAAA